ATTTGGGTTTCAGTAATTCCTCTCAGTTACATTGCCCTTGATCACGCCTTACCAGGCCTCCTACACCCTCCTCACCACCGTATGAATCAGTTTTTTAAGTCAAACAAACTTTAGTAAGTTATCTTTGAATAAAGGAGGTGATTTTTTTTAGTATTCTTTCTAGAAAAATAGGTCTCAATCTCTTATTCTAATTCTATTGCTCCTTTTCCTAAGACTCTAGTGTCCTCCACAGCCCCAACTCTTTCTCTAGTCACCTGGGTACGCACTGCTGTCTACTCCTTAAGGAGTATTCTTCCTCCTCATGCATTGCTACATTCTGACCCATGCTCAGTACCCATAATTCTCTTTCTCCTTTGGTTTTAATCCTGACTTTAGTCCATATGGCTTCTAATGCACAGATTGGTGGCTGGTTGGCTGGCTGGATTCCTTTCTTTTTCCTCTATTACTTTCTCTTCTTCCCAACTATTTATTGGGACCTGATCACATGCAAGAGGTACAGGGGAGTCCCTTCTCATAAGGAACCTACTTGTGCTTTGGGGTACCGGTAGGGGGAGATGCTGTTTTCTCCCCTGGTCCAGGGAGCACCAAGACTAACAACCAGGGTCTTGAGTCCCAGAATCAGAAGGGCCAGCTAACCAGATGCATCAGCTGCATTGCTGTGAGTGTATATGCATTTGTGCTATAGAGGAGGAGGCAATATCTACCCTGGTCCTGGTCCCTGGGACAGGCTGATGATGGGAATCCTTCAGAGCTGGTTAGAAGTCACAGAAGGAGCTACCAGACTAGGAAGAATTGAATTCCAGATCGTGAGAGGACCCAGGCACCGCAGAGGCAGTATGCACAGCGGTTACCAATAGGGGAGAGAATAGCTTGTGACGAATCCTAACAGAGCTATTTGCTAGGTAAAAGCAAGTGAGCAGGGGTGAGGGATGATCCTCACTTCCAATGGTCTCAAAGAGGATGTCCTTTGTCTTGAGGACCTCGTACACTGTGGTTGACTTAGGCAATTGCACTTCAGAAGATCTGCAGGTGATTGTGTTAGACTGGGTTCTCTAGAGAGGCAAAGCCAGGGCCCCTTATATGTGTGTGTGTATAGAACAGGATATGTGCTGATAAACAGCTCATACAGTTGTAGAACATATGCCAATAAATGGTTCAGACCATGTATTGGGGTAAGCCCAATCCAGTTCAAGCATGCGGGTCAGGTGGGAAGCTGGAAGCTTCTCCGAAGAAGCAGGAATCAGGAAAACTACACGCTGGTAGTTTTGCAAAGTCTAATTCAAAACGGGCAGGCTGCTGATGGGCACTGTTATCAGCAGGCAAGAGGGCAGCAGGTCCCCGAACCAGATGTGAGATCCAGATAGTTCAGAAGTGAAACTTTTCTATAGAATTTGCTTACAAAGGAGCAGCCCACACGAGGAGTCTGTCTTCCAGTTATATGGCCATTGTGACCCAATCACGGGGACTGCTCGCAGCTCACAGAGTTCACCAGTTTGTGTTAGGTACCATCATGGAGTTGATAACATTGTGTTTGATCACATCATGGGGGATTGCTGCGCAACAAACGAGAACCCTGACCCAGCTGACACAAAATCGACTTCACCACTAAGGTTGGTTTTTGACTGTTGTTTACTGAGCAATGGGAGTCTCTGGGTAGTGCTAATGTCCTTGGCGGTTAGTCAAAGCATTGGAGGTTCCAAGTATACCCGGAGACACCGCCGAAGAAAAATCTCGTTTTCTACTTCCCACGCTCTGACACACGTGGGTTCCTGTGACTTGGAATCAATTCTACAGTAACAGGTTTTAGTGAACAAAGCCGGCTGCTGTGTGGTTCAGAAGTAGTTGGGACGTGGCGACAATGACTCTGTAAGCCCTTTTAGGAAGTGTCTGGAGAAAAGAGGAAGAGGGAGAAAGAAGTAGTTAGGGGGGTATCGATAGTCAACTTTTCTGCCCCAGGCTTTCTGGACTTTCCAAATGAATCCATCTCTCAAGCCTTCCCCTTCTCCTCTCTCGCGTTCTATTTACTTTTCTGTGACACTGTCTCTGTAATCCTCATCTGGGGCTGTCAGCTTTGGAGCAGACTCGTGAGGTGTAGGAGGGCCTGAGGAAGTTAGCCCTTGGAAGGTTGCTGCATTGCTGTTCATATTGATCAGCTGCTCTGCCTCTGATGATCCCATCCATGCTGGTGCTTTCTCATCCATTCAAAGTGAATAATAGTCCCACGTGATAAAGTAAAATATAGATGAATGACTGAAAGGGAACCTGGCCTGCTCTTTAAACCTTCGCCTACTTCCCAATAAAAAGGAGAAAACCAAAAATGAGTAAGAGTCTCCTATTCAGTGATTTTTATCTAAACAAAACATTTGGCATTGAATTAGTCAGGCTACTTTTCATCACTGGGTATTATGTCTGAGGTCTGAGACACACAAAACAAATCTAGAGTCCAAAATATACAAGGAAACCTGCACAATCAGGGAAAGATGGTTAAATGACTATAGAACATAACAGGCTGTCAATCACAACTCAAGTCTCTTGAAGTTATTTATGAATGATGTCATTTGGGGTGTCATACAGTAATACGGTTGATATAAGGAAGACTCAGAATGTGAGCTGAATGGGCTTGCTTTTCAAAAGACCCTGCTCATTTTTTTTTCCCTAGCATCTTGCAGGCTCATTTCAGGCAATACCTTACCTTTTGCTCTCCCAAGCCCTTCAGCTATGAGATGCTTTATTCATTTCTGCATTCATGTGTCTAACAAAAGCAAGCTGCATTTGTGTGATCAAGGATATTTCATGGTTGTCCAATTCTGCATATTGCTAAGCCTGTGATTTGATTTTCTGGAAGTGTTCTGGATACTTGTAACCATCTGAGTCATTGCTAAAATCATTAACAACTTTTCTGATTTTAATATGGTCTTGACATAGATTTTTTTCCTCAAATACCTATCGTGTGTTCTTTATTTTCCAGGTAGATGTCCCCTTAAAAGATGGTGACTCTCTGAGAAACTGGACCACTTAGTACAAGAAAATTTCTCTGCTTCTCTCCAGTTCACATCTGGCTGAAGTCCACAATTCTCAGCATCAGGTGAACCTTGAATATTTTTCCATTGAATGTAAAATGATGGAACATTGTCATTCATTTTCCTTTGGGAAAGTGGCCTGGCTTTATCAGTTTGTAAAAGAAGTTTGCAATGCATTAGGGAGTCCATGACATGGGGTCGTACAGCAGGAGCCCTATTTGTTAGCCTGCACTCCTCATGGTTGGCAGTTCAAAACCACCAGCAGCTTTGTGGTAGAAGGATTGGGCTTTCTACTCTAAGCAATTATAGTCTCAGAAACCCACAAGATGTCACTATGAGTCATCCTTGACTCGATAGTAGTGGGTTTGGAGGGGGTGGTGCCAACGTTGCTGCTCTAGGTAGACCACTGGCTGTAAGACTAGAGGTTGGAATATACACAGAGGTCCTTGAAAATCCCATAGAGTAGTTCTACTTTGAACGCTTCGGGTTCCTGCGAGATGGACACTGAAACCAATACCGTAGCAGCCCACTGGCAGCCATCGGTCACCTACTTTCCCAGAGTGCCAATCTAAGTGTTCTCCAAAGAAACAGAACCAACAGAGATAGAGCCACCACGATATATATAGTAAATATATATCCTATGCACACACATTGCATGTAGAGATGCATACATGTATGTACGTACGTATATATGTATGTATGTATGTGTATACACACATACATGTTGTTGTTGTTATACTTAACCACCCTGTGTGCAACAGAAGGAAACACCGCCCGGTCCTGCACAATCCTTACAACTCTCCCTGTGTTTGAGCTCACACTGTCAATTCAGCTTGTTGAGGGTCTTTCTCTGCTCCTTTCCTTTACCAAGCATGATGCTATTTTCCAGGGACTGGTCTCTTCTGATAACATGTCCAAAGTTCTTGAGAAGTCTTCTCACTTCTAAGGAGCATTCTGGTTGTACTTCTGCCAAGGACTATACATATATATAGTCCTATAAGGTTGTCATGAGCTGGAATCAACTGGCAGCAATAGATTTTATGAGGAAAGCAAGGAGAGAGAGAGAGAGAGAGAGAGAAGGAAGAAGAAGAACATGGAGAAAGAGACAGGGGAAGGAGAGAAGGAGGAGGAGAGGGAGAGGGGAGGGAAGAGGAAGAGAGGTTGATTTAAACAATGGCTCATTTGCTTTTGAGGACAGGCATCTCCAAAATCCACAAGTCACTGGTGGACTAGAAGCCACAGCAGCGTTTCTATGTAAAGTAGACTCGTTCCCCCTTTGAGAAACCTCAGCTTTTGCTTTAAGACCTTCAACTGATTGAGTGAGGACCATTCTGGAGGTAAACTGATTCAAGTGTTAACCCACTGCAAACGAATTGATTCTGACCCAAGGCAACCCTGTATATGGTTTCCAAGGCGGTGAATGTTTACTGGAGTGGGATCACCCCATCCTGATGTACGCATCAAGTAAATCACTGAACATCATCATGAGAAATGGAGAAACATAAATGGATAAATGGAGACAACATCATGATAAATGGAGAAAAGGTTGAAGTTGTCAAGGATTTTGTCTTGCTTGGATTCACAGTCAATGTTCATGAAAGAAGCAGTTAAGAGGTCAAAAGAGGGGTCGCAATTGGTAAATCTGGTAGCAGAGCCTCTTTAGAGTATTGAAAAGCAAAGATGTTATTTTGAGGACTTAGGTGCACCTGACCCAAGCCATGGGATTTTCCATTGCCTCATATGCATGTGAAAGTTGGACACTGAATAAGGAACAGCGAAGAAGAATTCATGTACTTGAATTGTGGTGCTGGAGAAGAATATGGAAAGTACCGTGGACTGCTTAAAGGACAAACCAATCTGTGTTGGAAGAAGTAAGGCCAGAGTGCCCCTTGGAGATCAGGATGACAAGACTTTGTCTTACTTACTGTGGGTATGTTGTCAGGAGAGACCATCTCTGGAGAAGGGCATCATACTAGGTGAAGAGGAGGGGCATCGAAAAAGAGGGCGGCATTTAACGAAATGGATTGACACCGTGACTGCACCAATGGGCTCAGGCGTGGGAACAATTGCAAGGAGGGCGCAGGACCATGCAGCCTTTCAGTCTATTGTGCAGAGGGTCCCTATGTGTCGGAACTGACTTGCTGACACTAACAACGAGGCGCTAATAAGGAGCCTGTGGTTTTAATTAAGTCAGGCCAATGATGGTTATTGTTTCCACTAAAGAGGCATAAAGTGTGAGGTTGACCAAAGTGGAATGGTTGACCGATCTCAGGAGACAGACTGGCCGGGGTGGAGGGAGAGAGTTTCTCTGGGGGTGATGACATCAGGGTAATTGATCTCAGGTTTTTTGCTGCACAGGTTCATGTAGGCACATGACAGTGCTGTTTCCATCACTGTAGTGGGGGACTGGGGATGGGATTGCAAGTGGGGGACTGGAGGAAGGTGAGAGAGGGTGGCCTGGAGTGGGGGCTTGGAACCATTTGGTCGGAGAGCACCCATTTGTTGTGAGCAGCTCATGAGTCACAGATTGGATTTGTGCCAAAGCTGCCTGGTTAATATGAAATTAGAATTGATTATGTAAAACTGTGCAAGACCTGCATGTGGGGTTGAGTCACAGGTTTCCTTAGAAAGGGAAGGAGCCTGCACTCCACATTGACTTGCCAATGTACAATACAATTGGCAATGAGCATGTTCTCTTACAGATTCCCTGTGTTGGGCAAGTGCCACTCCACCCCACCCCACAACAACAAAACCCAGTTACTGTTCCAGGTGACTCTGACTCACGGCAACCCCTATGTATGTGAGAGTAGGGCTGTGCGCTGTACGGTTGACAGTCGCTGATTTTTCACACGCGGGTTGCCAGGCAGTTCTTCTGAGACACCTCTGGGTGGACTTGAATTGTTTGTATCATCCAGAGATTCCAGGTGAATAAATTTTTATTTAATTAAAAGGATCAATGACTTGGCCCTCAGTTTAATATGTAGGTAATCCTGTAGCTGACTATAGATACTATTCTGCAGGTATAGTGGTTTGCATCACATGGAATGGCTGTGAAATTTGAGGTTCTCTCTCTCTCTCTCTCTTTGTTAGCAGATGAATGTATGACTATTGTAGAGATTTTGCTCCAGGCAGCAGAAAATCACTTGATCATATAAGCCGACCTAATTTTAACTTGTATATATAGTTCCTTTCCCCAGTACTTCTAGGTAGTAACTGTGTAAACACTTTTGTGTCTTGCATTATAAAATGAAGGTGTGATCTTTGAGTAGGACCTGAAAGTGTGGCACGTGGGTCCTGACACCTGTGTGTGTCACATGAGGGACAACACTACTCAAGTCGAGGCGAGACTGTTTCTGGGGATTTAGGCTAAAAGCCTGTGCTAGACGGCATATAAATAAACTTTTGGAGGAATTAAAGTGGGATTTCAGAATGGATATGTGCATTGAGACAGATGAAGGTGTTTTTTTAACGTTAGACCATAGAGTTAGTTTCCACTTCTCTTAAAATTCTTTATCTTTCCACTCCCACCTCAACTCAGTAACTTTCAGCCAGAGCTAAACATGATCCCATTAATAATCCACAAGACAATCCTTTCATTGTGAGTCAGGGATAAGGATGGGACAGGTAGGGAATCATGTTAGGTTTTGCAGATTTGCTGTAGTATTAACATTTTTATTTTTGTCTCTTTATTCCATTCTGTTTCCTAGGAGAATATGCAAGTGTTACTCAGGCTTGCTTGTTTCATAGTTCTCATGATGTCGCCTCTCAAGGCTGGTAAGTTCAACATTTCTTTGTGTTTTGACAGCTACACCAAAAGAGTATTTAGAATATATGAAGTAAACCTCAACATCCCTACACAGTGTCACTATGAGACAGAATCGAGTCATGAGTAGTGGGTTTTTGTTTGATTTCTGTTGAAATACAGGAGAGAGAGCTTCATCCTCAAAATAATTGTACTGAGAGACGTTCCGGCTTCAAGTCTTCTCTCATTGAGAAACTGAGGCCCCAAAAGACGAAGAACTTTTTTGCTAACAATTTTACTTTAGATTCTGAACAAGAGCTAAAATATTCAGTCCAACCTTCTTTTCAAGAGCATGAATGCTATGGGACATTCTGGCATGTATTTGGAAGAGGTGTTAATTGTATTCCTTATGAAACACATCTGAAAACTATTAAGAGACAGGTCTGTTCTCTTTCTACTTCTTCGTTTTCCTGTTTCCTTTCTTCCTCTTTTACTACAAATTTATCGAACCTTTATCATGTGTCAGGCACTAGGTGTTGATACAGCAGAAGTGAATAATATTGACAAAAATGCCTATCTGCTTAGAGTTTACAGTCTAGTAGGGGAGGTAGACAATTGCAGGTACAGTTGAGAAGTAAATAAATATGTATATTATAGTGATACATGTGGGCAGGAAGGCAACAGGAAAAGTAGGTATCCAACTAGACTGCAGTGAGATCAGTAGAGACCAGGAAAGGCTTCAATGAGAAGTTGACTTTTGAGTTGAACCTGAGAGTCAGGTTGGGGGTGGTGAAACATTTCGGGCAGCATGTGCAAAACCCCTGAGGCTGGAGAACACCTGGAATATTCCAGGACCTACAGCACCAATGTGGCTGTAGCAGAGTAAGAGTGATAAGAACCGATGAGATAAGTAACTTCATAAGGGGAGGATGATGGAAGGTCGATTGTATAGAACAACTGTTCTCAACCTGTGGGTCCCGACTCCTTTGGGGATGGAACCACCCTTTCACAGGGGTCGCCCAATTCATAACAGTAGCAACATGACAGTTACGAAGTAGCAACAAAAATAATGTTATGGTTGGGGAGTCACCACCACATGAGGAACTTAGGAAGGTTGAGAACCACTGTGCTAGAACCTTATAGGGAGGACTCCAGGGATCTTCATTCAAAATTAAGGGAGGGTGGCCCGACTTACATTTGAACACTTCTAATGTTACATGTTTACATATTTACATAATGACTTACATATTTACATTTCCTATTGAAATGAGAGCAGAGAGAGAGAGAGAGAGAGAGAAAGGTTGAAATAGAAAAACCACTTCAAAGCTATTGAAATAATCCAGCGAGCTATCATAGTAATTTTTTCCAGGCCAAAAATTGATGGTATTTCGTATAAGGGTGGTAACGAGAAATGAAGAGTAACCACATTTTGGATATATTTTGCGTGTAGAGTCACACGCATTTGCAGATGGATTAGATGTTATGTGCG